TGGTGGTAGCACATACCCCTTTAATCCCAGCACTTGAGAGGCAGAGGCAGACGGATCTTTGAGTTTGAGGCCAGGATGGTCTACAGAGGGAATTCTAGGATGGTCAGGGCTACCCAGAGAAACCCTATCTTAAAAAATCAAACAAACAAAAACAAAAAGAAAACACACACACACATAATAAATAAATAAATAATACATGTATGTATGAATGAATAAAATCTGTAGCCAGAGCCATGCTAGAGACAGTTCAGCTCCAGGCTTGCCTCCTTTCTCTAGGTGGCCTGGCCAAGGTCATCAACACTCATATTCTCCAAGGAGCTCCACCTTCTATTAGCCACACAACCTCTTTTCTATTCCTGCTACTGTTTCCTCCATAGAAGAGGCACAATAACCTGAAGCCCGATGGTGATGGGAGACCTGGGAACAGTGCCAGCACCTTCTAAGTGGCTGTTGTGCATCACTGTCATCATCCTGAGCCCTGGTGTTGTTGTCCCCTCTCCCCAGTCTCTGTCAGCATCCACAATCATCATTATCACAGTGAGAGAGTTTTCCTGCCAGCCAGCTGGCCCTGCTCCTGAAGGCTCACTCTATCCCAAGCTGGAGCAGGTGTCAGAAGCCAGCAGGCAGGGACACCCACCCAGTCACTGGAGTTGATCACCAGGAGTGTCTCATGGCATCCCAGTGCCTTTGAATCTCTTCCATCTAAAGGTCAAGTGCTCATGGCAGGAGCTCAGTGGCCCCAATGATAAATAACTGCATGGCAAGTTGGCCTCAGGCGGGCTCCCAAACACAGCCATTGTCTCTAATCCCCCTAGACATAGAATGTTGAGAAGGGAGGAGTGGGGGAGGCAGCAGAGCCAGAACATCACGCAGGCTGCCCAGCTCCAGAAGGCTGGGACCACTGTCTATCCCTGCTCCAGCCATTGAGGGTTACAGGGGTGGATGGCAGCAGCCTTCCTTTCCTTGGTCAGCCTGCGTCTACCTTGCACATCACCACCCTTCAAAAAGGAGTGTTGAATGAACAAATGAATGAATTTGTTATTTCTCTCCATCAAGTGCTTCTAAGTCTCTAACGAGCTGAGCACCCTCAAAGACCCCTCCAACATCTTCCCTCCTGGTTGAGCAGTCTGCTTCCTTGATGAGGTCTTGAGGAAGGTATGGAGACAGTCTTGAGAGTGTTGACTACTTGTTTGTACCCTCCATGGTCACTCCTTCCCCATGAGGCTGAGACTTCTGCATACACTCCAGCCCCAGGGCCAGAACCTATTGCATACCTGTGTGCCTGCATGCATGCCATGTGAGGTCAGAGGCGCAGAGGGGCGGGGAAGCTGGTCTCTCCACCAGCTGCTCTCTCCCCTCAGCACCCTGGTTTCCTGGAATCAAGGGTGCCTCCTGGCATCCTGCACCCCAGGTCTCAAGCGGGCGTGCTTCCTGCTTTGCTTTCTCAAGGCCCCCAGTGGGTGTGTCCCATCCCTGGTGTCGGAAAATGTCAGCAGAGGGGCTGTCCCTAGGCTGACATGGGGGGGGGGGGTCAGGCTCAGAGCTTCTGGTGAGCTTAAGTTTCATCAACACCCTTCCCTCTGCACTAAACTCATGGTGGCAGGGCATGTGACAGCATCCTCTTAGGTCTGTCGCTCTTGCCTTAGTAGGTTCTTGTCAGATGGTCTGAGATACTTGTTGGAACATGCCTGAAAGAGTGTTGACAACCTGGGCTAGTGACATCACAGATCACCTAGCTCACATCCTTTCTCTGCAGTGTTCCATCTGTGTGACCTGGAGCGAGCCATCAAATCACTCTGAGTTCAAATCTCATCTGTAAAATGGAATGAAAACAAACAAAACAAAAAAGCAACACCACAGGGCATGTATGTGAAGCCTCCGTGCATTAATAATGCAACACTTAGTGTAGAGGGCCACTAGAAGAATTGCCTCAACTCACGGGAAGGAGCTCAGGGGCCTCCCAGAAACCAGACTTCTTGAATGGGGTTCTGTGGGGTCTTTAGGAGTCTGTGAGTACATGGCTTAAGTATAGGACTTTTTCAACCTTAGAGATCAGCATGTGGCAATGGAAACCAGTTATTTCTAGTTTCTCTTCGCAGCCATCCCCCAACCCCAGCCTGCAACTCTGGAAGGGACACACAAGGCCCCAGCCTCATGCCACCTTTCAAGTGGTACCTAGAGCTGCAAACTGAGCACTGAGGAAATATTAAAAGCAGTCTAAAAGTAGCCAGTGCACCAATAGGCACAGGGGCATGGAGCTGAGGGGAGCCCCCCAGGGTCACCAAGTCAAGGGCACTGACAATGAAAAGCCCAGCCTTACCTGATGACAATAGGGTGTCTCCAGCGTCAAACCAGGATGTGGTGTGGCCACATGTGGCTGTGAGTGAGACTATCCTGGGAGAGTCCAAGGTGGAATATTTTGTTCCCAACTTGCACCCCAAAGCTACATGCAGGGACAGCTATGAGTGTTACCCAATACAGCTGTTTAAAGTAAAGCATAACAAAACAAAATTTTGCAATTTTTCTCTTTTAAATAAATTGTGTGGCTGTGGATATATATATATATATATATATATATATATATATATATATAAATTTTTCTTGTTTTACATATTGATCCCAGTTCCCTCTCCCTCCCTCCCATGCCCCCTGGTCCCCTCCCATTCCCCCCCCCCCACTCCACAGGGAAGATGATGCCTTATAGGAGGGGTCATCAAAATCTGTCAAGTCATTTGGAGTAGGGACAAGGCCTCCCTCCTGCCTCTAGGCTAAGGGAGTATCCCTCCATGGGGAATGTGCTCCCAAAGTCCTTTTGTGCATCAGGGATACATTCTGGTTCCACTGTCAGAGGTCCCTTAGACTGCCCAGTCCTTCTAACTGAGACCCATGGTCAAGGGGTCTGATTCAGTCCCATGCTGGATTCCCACGGGGAATTGTGTGGCTCTTAAATGTGGGATTTGCAGATGGCATCATGTTGCAATGTCAAGAAACAGATGGGCTATGGAGGAGGCTGAGCAGGGAGGAGGCAGCTGGTGCCTGGCCTGTGAGATGCTGGAGTGTCAGAAGGGAGGCAGTGGACACAGCAGGGCTCTAGTCACCTCACCTGACTGTCAACCATGTTCTCAGCCCCCATCCCCCTGTGGAGCAGTGAAAAGCGCTTTTCTTCGTGTCACAGTGTGGTGGGCATTTCATCTTTTTTCTTTGAGGTTGGCTACCAGGAGGCTGAGACAGAGCTTCCTGGTTTTCTGCGTTTGGTAGGTGTCTCTTGGCAGGTATGTGCTCAGAAAGGTCCAGGGACCGGGGAGCTTGAAGCTTAAAATCTAAGCCTTGCCCACTAGTGGTTATTCTTCACAACTATCTCGAGCCTCGGTTTCTTCATCTGCAAAGTGGGAAGCAAACGCCTGCCTCTCAAGGCCATGAGAGGTGATATACTTTTTTCTGGGGGGGAGGCTAGTAGAGGGAGTTGGCTGATTTATTTACTTGTTTATTCATTCAAATTTATTTATTTATTTATTCAAATATATTTAATCCAAGTTTATTTCTTTGTTTAAATTTATTTGTTTATTTTGGAACAGGGGCTTGTCATGTAGTCCATACTGACCTGGAACTCACCATATGAACCAGGCTACCTTCAAACCTGAGATCCCCTCCCTTAGACCCCCTGCCCATGCTGGGGTTCAGGATTGAGCCATAGTATCTGCCTCCAGTGTGCTTCCCTGTTATACTTTCACTCTCCCGGGCGGGGGGGGGGGAGGGTCATCTGTTGACCATCACAATGCCATCACAGCCAGTAAGGCAGGGATGGATTTTTGTCTTCAGCTTGAACAAACTATTTCTACTATAATTCACCTGAAGACCTGGGCTCTGGAAGTTGCTTAGAGCAGAAATGCGACCTGGGGAATGAAGGTATAGGCCTGGCTAACAAGGACACAGGAGAGGCCTGAAGCTCCTCCCCGCCTCCCCTTCCTTGAACCCCTTGGCCCTCCCAGCTACTTCCTGCTCCTCACTCTGCTTCTGAGTCTCTCCAGAGCCCGAGTTGTGCTTGCTCTCCAGCTGGTGCCTTTCCCCTGAAATCTGACCCTGGGAACCCTGGCACCCCTTCCCTGTACATTCTGCCAGCTGCTCCCTCCTGGCCCCTCTCCCAAGATCTCTCTAGGATGCTGGCTTATGGTTCTACCTCCACCTGGCATATGGTGGCCCCTTTCTCTACCCAGTGCCAGCTTAGGTCTTTCACCAGACATGGGGAACAGCTGGGCTTCTGAGCCCCATACTCTTTTCCCTCTCGGGTTTCCAGGCTGCACCATCTCAGCATCTGCTCTCCCTGCCCAGAGAATTAGCCAGGGAAAGCAAAGAGCTCATTTTGAGGAAGGAAGAAGAGAGGCAATGTGACCTGGATACATCACTAGGTGCCAGATTTTATCAGTTGGGGTCACCTCAGAAACAGTACTGCAGAATCTAAAAGCTGCATCCAGCCTTTTGTGGAAGGAAGACTGTAATTAATGTATTTCATGCACAGGCACAATTGGTTAGCAGTGTCTGCCATGTATAAGTACAATTGATTAGCAATGTCTGCCATGAATAAATATAATCAATTAGCAATGTCTGCCACATGTGCAGCTTCATTGAATGCTAGAGACTGCTGACTATTGTTTCTCAAAGACACTGGAAAAATCCTAATAGTTGAAAAGTTATCATTAAGACACACACACATACACACACACACACACACACACAGAGAGAGAGAGAGAGAGAGAGAGAGAGAGAGAGAGAGAGAGAGAGATGAATGATAGATTGATCCATGATCTACCATCCATTGGAACACTTACACAAGCCTGGATGTGGAGATACAAGAGAGGCTGGAGCATATCAGTGCACAGAAACCTGATTCCTTTAAATGACTAAGATGTTCTCAACAGCCATGCTTTGTTCATGGAGGAAATGCCCCTCGATCTCCAGCAGCATCACCCTTCTAGACTGAGATGACAGACTTCCAACAGCAATGAAATGAACACTATCCAACTTTACTCTCTTGCAGTGTCAGGGATGGAACCAGCTAGGCAGGGCTCTGCTGCTAGGCTCCATCCCCAGATCAGAGCCACACATTACATAGTTTCATTGTGCCTGCTTTTTACAATCGTGTTTTATTTATAGAAAGATTGGGGTTTTCAGCCACAGAAGCCATATGATTAAAAATCTTTAAATAAGTATATTTAGGAAAAAAAAGAATCAGTTTTAAAACTTCTCAGGAGATAATTACAAAGATGGCAGGCACATACCTTTAAAAGAGAGAAAACCAAATCCTCCCCAGACCTCTTCAGACAGTGAAAATAGGTTCAGTTTCTGCTTGGGAACTAAGGCAAGAGAATTTCAAAGTTTTACATTTGCCCAGGGTACACAATCTAGAGTATGGGTGAATAATTCAGGTCTGGTCCTGGTTGAGTCAAAGGAGGATGGCCACAGACAGCATCACGTGTGGCAGGAGGAGCCTTCTTTACCCCTGCCAGGCAGGAAAACTCTTGCATGGGACCTGAATACCCTCTGTATTGGCTCATCTCCTCTTGCTAAGCCTAGGGGCCTTGCTCCAAGCACCTGCTCTTGGGACATCTGGTTGAGAGAAAATCTGATTGTTAGATCAGGACCAGCCTCTGTGACAGACCTATCCCCAGGCTACCTGCTGGCCTGGCAGCCTGTGGGCCTGTGGTCTGTCCAGACAGCCAATGAGTAGTGAGCAGGAACGACAAGGCAGGCACTGTGTGTAGGGCATCCATTAGCTAGTTCTGAGTTTCTGCTTCCCTTAGGATGTGGGATCCATCACTGCGATGCCATCAACCCTGGGACCGTGACAGACACCAAGGCTCTGTGATGGAGGAGCTGCCTGTCAAGATCAATGCTCTCTTCTGTGGGTGAGATGGTACCCAGGCATGTCATATCTGCCTGGGCTCCTGGAGCTCTGGGCTCACATTCCAGTAGGTTCCCTCATGAATTGGTGAGGTGGGCGAAGGTACATCCAGCAGCCACTGCTGCATGAAGTATTTGTGTCCACACCAAACCTATCATTGTGAAGTCAGGAGGTAGCTCCAAAGAAGGAAGATGGGTCAGGAGCTGTCCCCATCATCTCCTGTATGGGCTGTAGACACTGGGATGCATTAAGGAAGCAGCACCACCCTTAGAAGCAGGGCTTACAAGAGAGGATGAGAGATGTTTATTGTCTAGGTAAGGCACAACCAATAGAGCCTGAGTAGGCATTAGTCAAGGATCCAGGAGACCCCCTGGGATCCTTGTAAGGGCTCTACAAAGCACAGTTCTGACACTTGCTTTATAAGCCTTTTGTGAGGAGGGGTTACGTGAACAGATATCTACTTCTCCCCATATATGGCATCAAAGGCACAGATCCACTCAAGTCCAGTTTGATGAAACTTTGAGTCGTCTAGGCTCATTTACAGGAGTATAGGTGACTCCAAAACAGCTGTATCACAGAAAGCCCCACCCCAGAATAGGTGATGGTGTCCCCATAGCTACACAGATGGAGCCCTCACTTCAATCAATCCTCCCCTTTCTGCATATACCAGCATCTTCCAGGAACACACGCACTGGGTGCAGAATTACACATAGCTGGGAATGTGTGCAGGAGAGTAACTGCAATCTCTGGTGAAAGTCTGATGACCCTTCCCATCCTCTCCTTCTATGGGGGAATGTCAACAGTCAACAGGCTGCATTTAGTCTTATCAGGATCTCTCAGTTTGGGTAGACACAGCTGCTCTGATTAAGACATTAGCAGCCACATCACTCTGAGGACAGCGGTCCCTCAGCAGTGCTTGTGGGACTAAAGTTGGGACAGGAAATGGTACAGAGGGCTGTACGGAGCCACAGCAAGCTCTGTGGTAGAAGAGCATCATGGGCACTTTGGTACTTGGGGAAGGAGGTACCGGCTGCCCTGTAAATAGTGAGCAGTAGGGAGTAAGGCAGGTCCAGGAAACTATTGACCTCATGGCTAAACAGGGTGATGGGGCTGACTACTCCTCCCCACCCCAGATCCTGGCCTGACCAGGGAACAGCAAGTGAAGCTCAGAAGTGGATGGCTAAGTGTCAGGGTACAGATGACCAGGGACTGTCCTCAATTGGTCCCCCTCAAGCCTGACCTGACCTAGGCAGCTGGCTCCCAATCCTGACCACCTGTCTACAACAGGTGGGCTGGATCTCGGGCCTGTAGTTCTTGTAGAGACAGATAGGCATCCGTGTTGAGAGGCAGGACAGAGGCCAGGGCCCTGTCCTGACCTTGCCCACAAGGGCTATCTTCGACCTGCTCCCCTGAGCTATGAGCAGACAGCCTCTCTCCATCACCTCTCAGCACCAGCTCCAGAGGGCACTGCAAGCCCATCAGGTCAGGGGATGGTAGGGGGGGATGTTCCTCCTGAGTGCAGAGGCGAGGCTTTTCTTCAGGGGCTACAACTCCCCCAAAGGCAGTGTTGGGGGAGCTCAGGCTGGGTGAGAAGACCAGCAGGTCATCCCTGGGTGGGAATTCACAGTACTCATCCTCTTCCCCAGCCAGAGGGAACAGAGATGTGGGAGAAGATCGCTGGGGTGGCCCTGGCCCATCCTCCTCCACATCTTCTTCAATGCAGGGGTCATAAGTGAAGTATACCTGGCAGGGCTCAATCTCTAAGGCGTTGGGCAGATGGAAGAAGAAATAGCCTTGGTTGGTGAAGCAGCTGGCCTGCGAGTGACCGCTGGGCGAGGGGGAGGGGGCTGTGTCCTGCTGTAGCAGAAGCAGCTGCATGGCTTTGGTGTCTCGGACCAGCACCTCCAGGGGAGAGATCTCAGGTGCAGGGCCGGTGGGGCTGAAGGAGGATGAGGGGAAGGGCGAGGAGAGCCATTTCTGCCAGAGAAAATAAGGAGAATAAGTGGGCCACTCTACCTCCTACTGTACCACTAAACTCATCTCCTCTTCCTCCTTCCCTTCCTCCTGCTCTCCATCCTCCAGCATCATCCAACTCCTCCCCAACCTAGACACATCCTGTCGTCTTGTCATCTTGATGGACTATCTGAACTTACCAGCCTAAGCCACATGCTAGATGAACACTGCCACAGAGCTGCCTTATGGATGTTCAGGGGGTGTTGGCTAGGAGCAAGTGGAGCTGGCCCCTGAGCATCCACTGTATAACTGGACTAAACTAGGTGTAAGGACCCAGAAGGGACAGAGTCCCTGTCTGGTATGGAGTTAACCAGCCAGTCAATGTCTCTGAGGGCCCATCCTGCTCAAGTCACAGGTTCTGCAAGAACAGATGTCTTGCCCACAGTGATAGAGAACTGGTGGTTCCCCAACTCTCCTCTCCCCATCATGGCCTGCACCCCTTTGCTGTAACCTACATGTATGTGGGGTGAGATTCATGACACCAGTGGCTAAGAACCTTGGACACAACACAAGGAGGCCAAGAAAGGAGTCCTTGCTGGCCCACAGCCAGCCAAAGCTTACTTGCATTTGTCTATTGGTCAGGACCTTACCACAATCAGGGCAGAAAGGGTTTCAGAAAAAGAAAAAAAAGCAGTTTAAGGAGCTATTCACCCCACTACACATACACACATATACACACGCACACACACACTCAAATATACACACGCACACTCACACATGCACGCAGCATGCACACACACATACACACATTCACACACACATACACACACTCACACATGCACACAGCATACATACACACACATTGACACATATACACACTCACAGTCACACACTCACACACATACATACAATACACACATATGCACACATCATACACACATGCTCAGATGCACACACACTCACACATGCACACAACACACACACATGCACACAGGATATACACACTCAAACATGAACTCAACACACGTGTACATGTGCACAAACTCTAAGACATTCTCAGTTCTGGGAGTCTCTCAGAAATTCTAGAAGGGCCCTGCTCAGCCCTGATGGAGCTCACGAGGCCAACCCAGCAGGCCTAGAGCCCAGCCTGGCCTTCCCAGTCTCAGCACAGCTCCCCAGGCCCCTCTGCCTCCCACATATTTCTCAATCACAGGAACCCAGTCAGGCTGGAGGTGGTAAGAGTAGACTCCACCCCACCCTTTACCTACCCCTTGCTTCTCAAAACTTCTAGCCTCTATTGGGTAGACTAGAGAGAGATGTAGCAACTGTATGGGTCACACTTCAAAAACAAGTCCAGGTTTTGTGATTCCGGGTGACCCAAAGGACTTGTGTGACTGTGATAAGTCACTGGAACTGCCAGTAATTGCTCTGATCATAGGGACAGAAGCCATGAGGAGCCCTTGCAGCTCTCTAGCACCCACACTGTGCCCAGCAATACTCACAGGTCCATACACACAGTAAGGCTTATTTTTTCCCAGTTGTACTAAGGAAACTAAGGTGCTGGGCGGATTTATAACTTACTCAAGCTTACACAGCCAAGCAGTGGTGGGGCCAGAATTTCAGTCAAGGCTGTGTGGCTTGGATAGAACCATGCCAGAGCAGGGACAGAGCTGTGTCCATGAGAGTGGCTATTTATTTTAGAACCCTGTGTCCTCTCCCTGAGGGCAAAGCCATTATTACCTGATCACATCTTTGCCCTGCAGCCTGTCCTTGGGTTGCCCATCAACCATTCCCTCTGTCTCTCCCCTGGATCCTACCTGAAGGTCCCCTCCGTGCTGGGAGCTCAGCTTGGAGAAGAACTCAGAAGGGTCTGGGATGTGGCACTTGAGAGCTGTCTTCAGCCTGACCAGGGAAGATGGGGAGAGGTGAAGGGTGAAGCTGGGGAGGGGTAGCATGATATCCTACCACCAGCTCTCCAGTCCTGAGAGCATGGGACAGGCCCATCCCACATCCACTCATTTGTTCAGCAACGTTGACTGAACACTCACCAGGGAGAACACTGCATAGGGTACTGGGGACACAAGAGTGGACAGCAGAGGAGGCCTCTGCTCCCCAGGAGATGACACACTGACAAGATAGACCTGAATCAAATGTGTAACAGGGTCGCTCATTCTGTCAGTAGATGGCTCTTGCATGGGAGAGACCACACACTAGAGAGGGAGGCAGTCTCCTAGTGAACACTCCCATGGATGGTGGTGCCTGCCATGCACTTGCACAGCAGCAGCTGGCCTTAGGGGGACAGTGAATAGAAGCTGAATTCTACCCCATGTTCTAATCGCTAAGCTGCCCAGAATCTAAATGCATCTAACCTGAGAAAGGGGAGCCACTTTCTGATTGGTGCACCATTTCCAGTGGAAGCCCTCAAGGGTCAGAATATGTTACTGGTGTGGTGGGAAATCTCTAAGGAGGGTTAGACAAGACTGTGGCATGGTTGGAATGGATAGGAGCAGACAAAGAGCAATGTCCAGCTTCCATCTTTGGGGATGAGGGGCCACAGGGAAAGGTTAGCTGTTAGGGAGGGGACAGGGGAGGTCAGGTTGAGGGAGCAGGAGTCAGTCCATCTGAGCCTGGGAAGATGTGCATGATAGAGATGGAGTGGGAAGGGAATACTGTCAGGAACTTCCTTACCATGGGCCAAGGTACTGGCACTTGACCAAAACGTAGACACAGATCAAGAAGCCAAAAACACAACCGAGGCTTAGGAGAAGGTGTCTAAGCCACACTAGGGGTAGACCTGTCCAGGGTGCAAGAAGTGGAAGGTGAAAGGTGGCTTATCAGCAGGTCATCTGAAGCCCAGATCCACCCTCCAAGTCACACCCGACAGGTATCAGTGTCTAGCCAGGTTTGCTTCTACTGGGACTCGGTCCTCAGTCCTGCTTAAGCCCACTGCCCAGAAAGGCAGACTGTGCTTGAAAGTAATGGCATCCCGAGAAGAACCCACTGCTGTACTGACTGACCCCTGATCACCACACCTAGAGCATCTGTGTCCCTTGAACTCAGCAAGTGATATGATGAGGGACAGGCCCCCAAGGGTCCCCCACCAGCATGGCAGCCCCACAATATCCAGGATAAGAGGCTATGCCTATCTTGTTTGTGGCAGAGCTACCTCACCCCACAGCACCTGTCCCACATATAAAGCTGGGGAAAAGTAGCCCTCAGCCTTGAGAGTGAACACTAGATTTCCTACCACTCATGGGCCATGGCTGATCCCCTCAGTAGCCCTGTCTCTGGTGAGTCTATGGGAGGCGCAGGTAGATGAGGTAAGAAGACCCATCTTTGCAGCTCCCAGAGCACCCTGGCCCTGCCCAGATCCCTCCATGCTGCCTACTGTACCTGTTGACCTTGTCCGAAAGGTCAGGGGCTGGCTCCAGGGGCTCCAAGTACTGTCATTACCTCGTTGGGCCAAGACCCGAACCTGGAGCTCATATGAGGTGTCAGGAGTAAGCATCTCCAGGTGGATCCATTGCTGTCGCTGCTTGAGGTTTAGCAGGGGTGCATCCTAAGCAGAGATGGGTGCCCTCTCAGCAAGGACTCCACTGTCAACTCAACCTCCCATAACTAGGTCAAGAGGCTAAGCAAGCAACCTCTCCCTAGCCTCCCCCCCAAAGCTCCCTGTTCCCCCAGCTGCTAGGGTCCCCAGGTGAGTATAGGAATAAGTGTATGGATGATGAGTCCCAGTTTACTGCCTCCCCGCCCCCTGAAACCAGGAAATGTGCTAGATTTGGAGTGTGGAAAAGCAGCTGCTGAGCCTCACAGGCTTCCTTGCCCTGAGATCTACATAGATGTGGACTCAGATGCATCTCCAGGCTATAAGAGCATGAGAGGAGCAGGCAGTGCCAAGCAATGTAGGAAGACCAGGATGAAACAGCTGCACATTAGCAGGCAGAAATGGACAAAGGCATGCACCAGAACAGGACAGTGCAGCAGAAGCAGAGGATTAGCTGTGTCCTCACCTTCCAGCTATGGCCCAGGGAACGTTTGCGGACCTCAAATTCCAATTCGCTATCAATGTAGTGAGAGACCTGAGAAACCTCCCAGCTTATGTTGCATCTCTGGGTTTCAATGTGGAGGACTTGGAGTGAATGAGGGGCCATCAGGCGAACTTCCGACAGATGAGGGAACAGATATCAGAGATAAATCAGCAAGATTCCAAGAATATTCAGCCTATTTTCCACAACACAGCATCCCCTACACCAACTCCTCCTCAGCAACTGCCCTGACTCCTCCCCTGCACTTGCTGTACTTTCTCCTCTGCACCTGCTCCTCCTCTGCACCTGCTTCTCCTCCTCTGCACTTGCTCCACCTCTGCACCTGCTCTTTCTCTACATCTGTTCTTCCTACTCTGCACCTGCTTCTCCTCCTCTGCACCTGCTCATCCTCTGCACCTGCTCCTCCTCTGCACCTGTCCTTCTCTACATCTGTTCTTCCTCCTCTGCACCTGTCCTTCTCTACATCTGTTCTTCCTCCTCTGCACCTGCTTCTCCTCCTCTGCACCTGCTTCTCCTCCTCTGCACTTGCTCCACCTCTGCACCTGCTCTTTCTCTACATCTGTTCTTCCTACTCTGCACCTGCTTCTCCTCCTCTGCACCTGCTCCACCTCTGCACCTGCTCTTTCTCTACATCTGTTCTTCCTCCTCTGCACCTGTCCTTCTCTACATCTGTTCTTCCTCCTCTGCACCTGCTTCTCCTCCTCTGCACCTGTCCTTCTCTACATCTGTTCTTCCTCCTCTGCACCTGCTTCTCCTCCTCTGCACCTGCTTCTCCTCCTCTGCACCTGCTTCTTCTCTGCACTTGCTTCTCCTCCTCTGCATCTGCTCTTCCTCTGCACCTGCTTCTCTGCACCTGCTTCTTCTCCTCTGCACCTGCTCCTCCTCAGTCCTGCACTTCTGCTCTTGTTATTCCACCTACACCCGACAGAGTGATTCTATTTGGGAATCTTCCTTTTGTGTGCACCTCCTCCTGGGATGCCTGAGTCAGGGACTGAGATGTCTGCTGAGCTTTTGGTACCTGAGGCACTCTCCAGGATGACTAACTAGCTATTGAGTAATTGGCAAGCAGCCTTGCCCTGCTTGAATACTGATCTGACAGGGATCAGCTCATGTACTTTATTTTATCCAGGTATCTTTATTATTGGTGTGTTTGTATTCATATGAATACATTTATATAGTATAAAACATAAATTTAAATAATTATAAACATAACTATAATTACATAGCATGTAATTTAAATTTATATTTGTGTATTCCACAATTATACTTATTAAATGTACATATAAATCATGAACATGTCTATGATTAATTTCTCAATTATACTACATGTACATATTTATTCAATATATTTGTCTATTAATATTGAGAGAGTATGTTGGTTCAAGCTTGACAAGTGTTGTAGCCACATGCCCAGCCTGTGTGGATTTTAAGTGTAATATTTACTTCATTTTCCCTGAACTAACCTGCTCTAAATCTATAACCCTGAGAGTTTGTCCACCCATAAAACGCAAGTTTTTTCCTGTGCCTAGATGCTAAGGAGTTTATGCATCCCAGTTCACGTCCCTTCCTATCATTCATGAGCACCTCAATTCCCCCCACTTTACAGAGAAGAAAATAAAGGCCCCAACATGTTCAATGACCTTCCAGACAGACGGAGTTAAGGTGGGGCTCTGATTTGAATTCTGCCTGGATCTCTCCTCTACCCCTTCTCTCCTCTAGAAGTGACCTCCAAGGTCAGTCAACGAGCCTTCCACAAGCACTGCCTGCTCAGGCTTGGAGTTGAGCACTCAGAGAGAATCTGCAGGGCCAGCAGAGATTGCCCTCTGGGAGTTCCCAGCCCAACAAAGGAGATAGACCCACAACTAGGTAAGAGCTGAAGGGTGAGTGGGAATCCTCCAGGCAGGGGTGGGGGTGGGGTGGAGAGGAGAGGGTTGGAGGCCAGAGGTTTTCAGGTGGGACAGATTTGAGAAGTGCTCAGAGACTGATGACTACCAGGCAAGATGGGACCCACAAACCCAGACTCCATACTCACGGTTCTGAAAGGGATGGAAGTTACAGGTCTTCACCCTGTGCCAGTCCTTCCCTTCCTGGCACATCATGCTCATGTTGAGGAGGTCTGCAGAGGTCAGGGACTGAGACTATAAGAGAGGAAAGGCAGAGTTGTAGCTGCCAGACCCCATTGAGAAGGGACCAAGGGCATGCTGTGCCTCTCCCAGCCATCTAAGGCAGGGGGCAGCAAACACTGTCTGCAGCCAGCCAGGTTGTGAACAGTTTCAGCTGCATAGGCCACATGGCCTCTGTCACAGCTCAATTCTGCTATTGTCTTAAAAGAACTACAGACAGGAAATGAACCTATATCAGGGCCACATTCCAATAAAACTTTATTTGCAAACACAGGCAGCCTCTGGGTTTGGCATTCACTAATCCCTGATATAAATAGAAGTAGGCCACCAGAGTTGAGTTCCCTGTCACAAGAGACAGAAAGTTCCCTGTCACAAGAGATATGCAAATGGCTAAGCCCCCAAGAAGGTCATCCACAGAGAAGGCAGAACTGGGCCTATTGAATAGTCTTACCCCTTGACTCTTGCAAAGGAAATGGCTAGGTACTAAGTATACCCCAGACAGCCACTGCTCACATCTTTTAGATGAACACAGTGGTCCCTCCCCATGTTGCTTTAGAAGGCTGAGACTACCCAGGTAGACAGCAGGAAGTGGGTTCTCATGAGGCTTTTGTAAGCACAGCTTCCCAGAATGACCAGAACACAGAGAATGAGTGACATAGTCCCCCCAAGCAGGCAATGCCATAGGCTTCTATATAGATAGTAGGTTGTAGGAGGAGGCCCAGAGGCAGGCCATGGTAGGACCTATGTTCTGGGACTGGGTGGTGGTTTGCAGTCCAAACCTTGAGGCCTAACCCCTCTGACCTATCCAAACTTTGAACGTGTCCATCAGAGTTCCCTGACCAACCAGGTACCACTTCCAACCCTTTCATTGAGGGCACTGTCTTCATCTTTCACAGCTGCTACCAGTTCCAGTTCACCCACTTGATAACATGACTTGGTTAGTATTGCTGTGGTTGTCCTGAAGGCATTGCCAGTACCAGGCTGCTGGGGACTCCTGTCCCCTCTTTGCATAAGTTACCTCATTGGATTCTCTCACTACCTTCTGAGACAGACATGTACTATCAACATTCCCATCAATAGATCGCAAGGCTGAAACACAGAGAGGGTTAGGGACTTGCCTAAGGTCACACAGCTAGGAAATAATGGGACCAGGATGGAAGGCAGGTCCCTGCAAAGCCCCCACATTGGCACAGCTGGAGATTCACCAGCTATGCTGTATGCCATCCTTCCCTTTCTTTCTTTGAGAATGTGTGAGACATGCCAAAGGCTGGACAACACAGCCTGGGCCCCTCAGGGCAAATCCCTACCCCTGCCTTGCCCCTTGCCTTGGAGATGTCCTACAAGAGGCAACTGGGCAATATGGAAAAGCCACCAGGAACCTCCAGGCCTAGGGTCCATCCCAGCTCAGCTGTTTGTGGTTGGGTGACCTTCTGCAGACACTACATCTCTCATCCTTAGATGGGGGTCAGTTATGGCGCTCAGTATCTCCTCTGTCCCAGAACAACCCTTTGAGGGAGCTTCCATTTTCATCCCTATTTTATGAGAGGGGACACTAAGGCATTGAAGCTGCACAGAGTCACTGAGCTGTTGTGAGCAGCACCAGAGCTGGGATGCCCAACTCTAGCACGCCACTCTCCCTAACAGTTTGGTATGATTGTCATTGTTACTGGGATACAAAAGAGTGGCATGACCCACAGCAGACAGTGGGGAACCAAGCATCTGTGCAGGGGCAGCAAGGGTGCAGGCCCAATACCCCAGCTCCTTCCTTCCCAGGGCAGGCAGCCTGCTCTACTGCTGGACCTCACCAGGCTGATGTTTGCAGAGCTCCAGGACCACCCTGAGGCCTCAGCCCACAGCTGGAAGGACTTCTCTCTCTCTCTCTCTCTCTCTCTCTCTCTCTCTCTCTCTTTCTCTCTCTCTCTCTCTCTGTCACACACACACACACACACACACACACACACACACACACACACACACACAATTACTTACATCTGGTTCCCCAAGGATCAGATCGCAAGCCCAGGATGCCTGCCTCACGAGATATAGATTACAGGTTTTGTTCCACTTCCTTGCAGAACAGAAAAGACACCTTAGAAAGCAAGGCAGGACTAAAGAGCTACCCAGAGGCCTCTCAGTGCTCCCCCAACCCCCAATGCTAGGGACTTGCACAGTGGGCAAGGAGCCAAATGCCTCCCATGCTCCTGGGGTTCTTCCCCTCCAGAATACCTTTCACACCCTCACTACCCCAGGCCCCATCCTGGCCTGCCAGCAGCCAGGGTGACCAAGGAACACAAATCTGTTCAGGCCTCACTCCCACTCCAGAGCCCCCCAAGCTCCATGAAGCCTAAAGAAGCCTGTGACTTGCCAGATACTTTCTGTCCCCACAGGACAGCATCACATACCCCCCCAGGCAATGGTCCCTGGCCCCGCAGCTGCCTGCAGGTTTTCCCAAAATACCAAATTACTCAAAAAACTTAGGAAGCACTGAATACCCACCCTGCTTGCCTCTGACATGCCCTGGCATCAAAGGTTCACAGTGACTGTCCCCAAACTACCTGACCCAGGACCTCTGCAGCTCTCAGCTAGAGCCTGGATCCCACCCACTTTCAGGAGCACAGATGACTGAGTGGCTGAGCCTGGTGCTAACCTCTGTAAATCTCAGGGTCAGGATTCTACATCTTAGAGTTCCCACAGTCCTGAAGTTCTGCTCTGTGACCAGGCCATACTCACCGATTGTCTGACTTGGCACGGATGATGCAGGACGTACCCTGAATGGCCTCTTCTGGGCTCCACATGCAGGAGACATTGGCTCTAGAATTGTAGAAGCACTTGAGATGGGGACAGTCTGTGGGCAAAAGAGGGTGTGAGTGGCTGGCTCTGGGCATGTCTACTACCCTGCTCCCAGACAGAGGGGGTAGGTGACTCAGAAAAGCAAAAAAGGGACTCAAGTTCATTTCATTGTTGCATCTGCATGTGTGCTCACATGCTTGTGTGTGTGTGTGTGTGTGTGTGTGTGTGTGTGTGTGTAGAAACCAGAGAACAACATCAGGCGCAATCCACCTTTGATTTTTGATAGGGTCTTTCACTGAGACCCTGGCTTGACAGTTTAGCCAGACTGACTGTTGAGCAAGCCCCAGGGATCCTCCTGTGTCCACCTCATCACTGGATCACAAGTGTTTCCCACCATGCCCTGTTTTTGTTTTTGTTTTTGTTTTTTTTGGTTTGGTGGTTTGTTTGTTTTGTAATGTGTGTGTGTGCACATGTACACAGGCACACATGGCACAGATGCCATGGCATATGTATAGAGGCCTGAGGACAACTTTTTGGAATTGACTGTCTCCTTCCATGAATCTGGGAAATTGAACTCAGATTGTCAGGTTTGTGGGGCAAGCACTGGGACACCTTGCCAGCCCATCCCTGGATAGTTTTTATGTGGGTGTTGCGAAGGTGAACTCAGGTTCTCATGCTTGCATGACAGGCACTTTACCCACCAAGCCACTTGTCACCCCCCCCCCATTTCAAACACACTTCAAAGGAAGGAAACTAAGTTTCAGAGATAGAAGGGACCCGTGGCCTATCCATGCTCAAACAGGGACAGTCAGCAGCCTGTATGTGTGCCTGGAAAAAGCCTGTGAACACCTGCCCTCTGGTCCCATCATCTCATCCCTCCTCCCCTGCCTCCTGCTGTTGCTGAATCTCCTCTTGGAAGCAGGAGTCTGGGATGTGGCCTCCTGCCAGGGAAAGCACAAACATTAAAATGTTGGGTCCTCACCGTTAACTGATGCAGACACCCAAGGTGTAGCCAAGGGCAGGAGGAGGATGTAAAGGGACAGACACCAGGACAGAGCTGTGGCAGCCATCACATCCAAGCTGCAGAGCTGAGGACACAAGCCCTAAGTGGGGGACACCAGAGATCCAAGTGAGAACAAGTCAAGACCCAACCCCACTTAGCTCTCCACCCAACGAGAGCCAGTGCAGCCCAGCCCTAGGTCCTGTGTCCCACAGGATCTCACTCCCTTCCTTCCCAATCCTAATCATGTACCACCTCCTTACCATACTTCACTCCATTTTGCATCAGCATTGTCTGTTTTTGTACAGTAGTAAGTACGTATGTCCCATAGAGGATATGTTCTAAAACCTCCCGGGATACCTGAAACATGGAACCAAACCAATCCTTACACATACTATGTTTTTCCTGTAAGTTACAAACCCATCATGAGAAGTTGAGGACAGTGCTAGCGATGCAGGAAGATTCCTATGGACAGCCACCGGCTCTCCCGAGCATGGTGGCATCTTCTACTCAAGAGTATCTTCCAACAGGTGCCCAACCAGTATAACCAGGTGAGGTGGGTGACAGGGCACTCATCATAGCACTGTGAGCTCTGCACAGGTGATTGGACAATAAAGCCCTCTAGGTGACTGATGGATGGGAAGCATCTACATTATGGATATTCTGGGCAAAGAAATCCCTCAGGTCCCATGCAGGATAGAGAGGGATATAGCTCAAGGCTTTAGCACATGATTAAGAACAGCATTCAATCTAAAATGCATGAATTGCTTAGTTCTGGAATTTTCTGTTTAATATTTTCTGTTTAATTAATGGAGGTAACTAAAACCATAAGAACTGCAGGAGAAAACAAGGGGAATACCATGTTTATCCATTTTTTTCATGCTTACACAAGCACACACACACACACACACGCACACACACACACATTTGCATACCCATGCACACAAGTCATAGCCAGTCCATGAGGACAAGGTACATTTGGATTTCATTCATTCCTGGGTGTCTGATTACCAGTGTAGTGCCTGTCATATAGCAGACAGCTCCTGGCCAGCCATGCATGGGGCTCCAGAGGTACCCTGGATGTTCTGCCCTGGATGCTCACCTTTCATGAAGTGAACTTAAACAATGGGATTAAAGCTGAAAGGTAGGCTCAGAGAAGAATACACATAGCTACCAAGAGCCACCAACCACTTCAACCCTGAAGAGCCTGCAAAGCAAAGCTGTGCCCTGCACAAGGTGGCTCTTGCAGTCACCCAAGCTGGGGGGCTCTGGTCTGTCCTCTAAGAGCCTCTCTGGAGTTTTCCTTTCCCTTTTGTTCCCAAGTTTCCTGCTGTCTTCTAAGGCCCATTTCAAATCTCCCTTTCTCCTAGTTCTGTGGTGCTCATCCTGTTTCCCCCATAAAGGAAGGACGTCCTGCCCTGAGTTGCTATCCATTCCTCCAGCATGACAGTTGCCAGACTGGCAAGGTAGAGTGTGCACTCCAAATTGCTGAGCTTGTTACACAGGAGGTGCTTAATGTAGGTCATGCACTGAAGGAATCAGATGCTCAGGGACCTGCAGGGCAGTAAGTGATGCTGGATGGCCTGGTGACAGTACTTTCCAGGTATGTTCAATGAGCTCTGCTCAGGCCATATGCCAAGGCCTTCAGACTTCCAGCCTGGCAGCTCAGCAGCTGTTCTATGTCCTTGATGTATAGACAAGGAGACCGAGGCTTCCAGGGTCAAGTCTACAGACCTGGGGTTCCACCTAGGACCTCCCTGTCCTGAAGGATCAGCTCCCTGCAGGTACTATGGTAAGGAGGTAGCCCTTATGGGTCCCTGAAGAGCCTAAACAAGGGGTCCCCACAGCCCCTCAGGGGCCTAACATGAGCTGAAGTACTATCAGTTTTGATGAGGGAGTGACCCAGGTTAGGCCCAGACATTTGAATAGCCTCAAGCTAGAAGAAACCTGTGCCGTTAGCCTTGGGGGAGAGGAAGAGGGATGAAAGGGGGGAGAACATAGGCAAGTCAAGGCCAGACCACAAGCACACAGCCCAAAGCCAGCAGACCTAGGAAAAATCCCCCAGCCCTGGCTGGAGAGGCACAGGGGCATCCATTCATCATGGACAGTATTAGATAGAAGAAAATATGGAAGGTTCTGGAAGGGTCTGGCTGGGGATGAGGTAGCTTCATGAAGTCATGGCAATGGTACTCTTCTTCTGCAAGAAGGAAATGGAGTCTCTGGGAAACTAAGGAAGCCACTCAAAACCACATAACATGAGGCTAGCCTAGGGTAGAGCAGGCTCAGCTCAAGAACTCCTAGTTCCAGGCACTGTGTCCCCCCCCCCCCCCCGAGGCTCACCCACACATGCCCTTCACAACTCCCAGACGTTCTCACCCCTGACTCATATGTCTCCACTGAGGCCTCCACAGGGCCTATCATCCCACAGGCCCAGGCTGTTCTAACTGGGTCACCTGATTTCCAGTACGGTGACGATGGTGACAGAGTAGGATCAGTACTGACAGTCATAATCCCTGGCTGACCCACACATGTCATAGCATGGTCTCACAGAACACAAGCAGGCTCTGGGATGGCTCTTTCTACATGGGCACAAAGCAGCCTGTTTCTCCGAATAGAAGGAGCTCCTCTACAGGTCTATCCAGGGTCAGCTGAGGGAGGATGACAAGCAGGACATTGTCTAGCTGACCTGCTGACCTTTGACCTCAGATGTCCCTTCTCTGCCCACTTCCCCAAAGACATACATTCACACACACACACACACACACACACACACACACACACAGAGCTCACTTTTGCCGCTCAACTAAGGACATCTTCTGGAAGAGAGTCTTCAAGTGTAGCTCTGCCCCCCCTCAGCTACCCACTTTGGCTCTGAATTGTTACAAACACAGCTAACAGTGGGAAGCTCCTACCTCAGGTAGTCGCAGAGATTGAGCCCAGTGTCTGACCTCTCTAGCCACTCAGCAAACTAAGAGACGCATCTCAGCTAGAGCCCTACTTCTGGCCCTCAGCCTAGGACCCTCTAATACCTGTCGGTCAGCATAGCCAGCTCCCTTCCCTCTCTCCCTCCCTAGCTGCCTAAAGAGCATCCCTCAGGCTGAGCCCTACTCCACAGAAGGCAGCGGTGGAACCCATTTTTCCTAGACACACTGAGTCTAGCTACCTACCCACCTCCTCTTCCCCTCTGGGCTAAGACAGCACCATGTGGGAAGGCCCTCATGGCAAAGTGGCTCACAACCCCCCATAGTATGAGCTGTGAAGAAGCTATTGTGGCCTGACATTGGAAGGGACTTATTCTTAAAGGAGAAACACTAACAGCCAAGCTACCCCATCCCCAGGGGATCCTAAGACAAGGTTGAGCATAAAAGCCCAGACAGAAACTACAAGGGGAACTGAGTCAGAGATGACTGTCTTCCCAGGCCCCTGCCCCTTGGGAAGACCAACAAGAGGTAGTTGGGTACCTTGAGCTCTGGGGGTGGGGGGGCAACACAGAGACATCACCTGGCTGCGACATGAAATTGAAGTGGTATGCTCCCTGCAGGCTGCCTGGAGACTGGGTCCACGGCCATCTCCTGCTCCGCAGATTAGGTAGCAGACAGCAGCTAGGCCAGCAACAGACTGAAACCCAGGGCGAGCCCACTTCCTGTACGGAGGATGAGGGGCAAGGCCCAATGGGAGGTGGAGAGATTGGGGGTGATGAGGTAGTCTGAAACTCCACACACACCTAGCACTGATAAGATCTCCTCCTACGCCTAGGGGCAGCCACCACATGTGGAGGCACACTCTCACACAGTAGCTGTGGCGCAGGGACCTAGCTATATACAGAACCTGACAGAACCTGAGGGGACACACCCTTCTTTGCCCACACCACCCCCACTGCATCTCACACATGCCACCCAAGCCTCGCTGTCTTCTTGTCTCACACACACACATACACACACACACACACACACACACACACACACACACACACACACACGCCACTCACAAACACATCCCTAAGTGTCCTCTTAGCTGGTTCCTGTACTAGCCCCTGCTACATTCCTATCTGCCATTGACTCCTGTTACCTTACCCTTCTGAGATACCCTTCACTCAGGCTAGCATTCAGGGGTGACTGATTTTCGGGGCTTGATAAGCAATTTGATGGACCTTCTAGAACCTTCTTTCAAAGTCATAGGTTCTAATTCTTGCTTACTTGGTGAGATGGATGGTGGGATTCAGTTCCCACCTTTATTTTTAATGGTGAGGAGCCATGCATTTCTCTTTAAATGAATGACCATTTACACGTAGTACCATGGGACCATGAGCTGGAGGAGTTCAGTCCCCTCCCCACGTAGTTTGTTTCCCCCTTCATCCTGGTTTTAATGCCCTACTTGGGGAATACAGCAAACTGCTGCTTCTTGGCAGAAGAAAGGGTAGCACTGCAGAATTAAGTTCTCTGAACACAGCAGGTATCCTCGGGATCAGAGCTGCTGACATCCATCCCCTCACAGAAGGGGAGGAGAATGTCATCAGACCCTCACTTGAGGTCCAGCCTTCCCCACCAACCAGCTATATATAACTGGACTCAGGGATGCTACTTGCTATAAAATGTAGAAGGTTAATCGAAGAAGGGACTCCATCTACAGCTTTGGGGAAGTTACCATTCATGCATGGGTGAGACTTTCCAGTGATACAGTTGCTTTGGGATCTCCCGTGCTCCATAAATAAGCCCAATAAACTCTCTAGTTCACCATCCTGGACACCATCTGTCCTTGGTGCTTGTCTGGGGTATGAGGAGCAGATTTTTGTTTGCATCTTCCCCAGAACATGTTCATGCAGCAGAAGGGAGGGAGTGGGTAGGAGAATTTGCAAGTACAGCCCAGAAGATGGTTCACTCCACAGATGCCAGACAGTGAAATCAAAGACCCTAAAAAGAAAACCAAGTACAAGGCCCTTCCGTGGAGCTCAGAACTGCACCATAGAAGGAGACATGTGGGGTGGCATTGCTGGCTGTGTGCCCTGTGCCTGTGTCTGAGCTTCAGTTCCCATATCTGTGAAATGGGGTGCTATTTTAGTTCCACAGCCATGACCAAAACCCATGGGAAAGATCACACTAACAAAGGAAAGATTTCTTTTGGCTCTCAGGTTCCATCCTTGGTCGGCTAGTCCCTGGTGTTTGAGAATCTGTCACAGTGGAACACCAAGGTACTCTGACTTGTCAACCAGGAAGAAGGGAAAGAAGGGAGAAGGGCCTCTGGAGACAGGACACACCTGCCTAAGGCATGTTCCTAGGGACCTGCTTCCTCCAACCGTTTACCACCTCCTAACAGCCCATCCAGCTATACCTTTATCCATGGAACAGCCCAAAGATTGCATCTCATGGTCCCATATCTTCCTACTAGCAACATCAGGGTACCAGGCTCTTCACAAGAGCTTTCTGGGGCACCTCACAGACAAACTGTAATAGACTTTTATCTGTTTCTGCCTGCACATGTGGTGACGACTGACACACAGGAATCCAGGACCTACAGAAGGCATGAAGTAAGGCTAGTTCTGATGGGGTGTGAATGCACTCCAAATGCTCATAAACTAGAAATTCAACCCCCAAATTCATACAATGATTGTGGAGGCAGAAACTTCAGAGGCCATTAGGGTGGGATGTGGTCATGCAGGTGGCTCCACATGATGACTGAAGTGACTTGATGTGGAAAGGAGACAAGAGCCAGCATGCTGCTCTGTTCAGCCATGTGCTGTCTTTTGTATGCCATGGGGCACCAGGAAGGGTTTACTCACTGCTACTGTCATGCTCTTGAATGCCCACAGCTACGAGCCCAACAAGTGTTGATTCTCTGTCATGATTGAGTTATAGTCACAGAAAATGACTGAGGAGTCCCTCTCACCCCACTTCCCTCTTCCCTAGAAGTGCTTCTGGCCAGAAGAGAGTAAGAAGCATAACCACAGTTACAGGGAAACTGACAGCCAGGGTTCTTAAGCACAGAATACTTCTGGAAGCTTCTTAGGGAGCCATGACCACTGGCTCTCCTAGTAGGGACAGGAGAAGAGTGGTGGTTCACTTTGCTTGCAAACCTTGGACTTAGCTCCTCCCTCCAGATAAATATAATCAGTTAAGAGAATTTAAAGCACATACAAACTCAGAAGAAATAATTATCCCTGGGCAAAAATCAGAAACCACAGACCCAGTTTTGAATGACCCAGTGTCATCATAGCTTTTTGTCTATGGTAATAACATTGGCTGGCCTACCTGGTGCTGTCCAAGCCTCCCTCTTCTCCTCCATCTTTCCCTCGCCCTCCCTTCAGTCAGCAAACACTCACTAAGCATCCAAAATGCCTCAAAGGCCCTGCCAAGCCAGGTCATGGCTGAGGCAACCACACTCCCTATTCAGAGCCTCTGACCTGTAAGCTGCAGGTCATGTAGAAGTATGAGGGAAAAGGTGGGCGCATGCTCCCAAACGCCATGGGGTCTCCTCAGCATGTGATAGACTCCATTTCCCAGCCACCCTTGTGGGGAAGTGGAGCCCAGGACCCAGTGTTGCCAGTGGGGTGGGAGATGAGTGGTTTTAGTCTACATCCAGGCCCCCCTTTTTAAATCCCCGCTTTTAATCCATCTGTCTCTGTTTTTCTATCTATCCTTCTCTCTCTCTCTCTCTCTCTCTCTCTCCCTCTTTCCCTCCCTCCCTCCTTCCCTCCCTCCTCATCTCCTGACCCTCTGTTACTTGCTAAGACTTCTGGTCTGTAAGGCAACTGAGGCACGAACTTCACCCTCATCTATCTATGCTGCTTCCCAGGACTAGCCCTAGCAGGATCCAAAGGCCTCGACACCACCCAGGTACAGGGCAATGTGCCTGCTCTCTTCCCATTCTTAAGGCCATAGGAGCTTCTGGCCAAGCCTTGGTTTCCTTTTCAGTAGCCAGAAAGGGTAGCCATGATGATCTTTCATCAGCCCTAATCCAGGTCATCTCATCCCTTTCTCCCCAGAGTTTCTAGAATACTTGTCACACATGCCAAGCTTGGAAGTTTAGTCTGAAAGCCCACAGGAGTCACCAGGCCTTCCAGTCTCAAGGGCCAACCCCCCCCCCCCCGCTTCCTCCAGATCCTGTACTCCTACTGGTATCAGCTGCCCATCCTGTTACAAGCTTTGGGACATTCAAATTCAGGATCCCGGCACACCGTGTTACAGGCAAGACTCCAGTAGTCACAGACAATCCTAGCAGAAGATGATGGAGTCCCTTAGGCCCCTGACCTTCTGTCCTGGAGACACCAGCATTTCCCACATAGTGTCCTGAGGAAAACTCTGGAAGCTTCTCGGATGCCAGAAGCCTAATAGTACCCACCCAGTCACTCCAGATCTCTTGTTGGGAGTTACTGTGTTTGGACAAGTCCCCTTAGTGGTTATCTTTCCTTCCAGCATCCATGCTACACCTGGGCCCCTTGCACTCCTGTTTCCTTCTGCATCTTCATGGGGTTCCACTGAACAAACTTACCTGCATCTTCCATGTTAACAGGCACAGCTCTCAGTTCACCTACCCAAGGACCCCATTTTCATAGGGCCTTCAAGATGTCTGCATTTGGGTTTCCTAGCCCCAATGTCCCTTCTCAACTATGACTTTCCACCTCGCCGACCATAGCATTGCTCCTGCTGGAGACCAAGCCAGACTGTACCCCCTCTTCTCTGCATCCTGAAATCTAGGTTTGTGACTCTGTAGTCGATAGTATGTCAACTTGACACAAGCTAAAGTCGTATGAGAGGAGGGAGCTTCAATTGAGAAAACGATTTCATAAGATCAGGTTGTAGGCAAGCCTGTAAAACATTTCCTTAATTAGTGGTTGGTGAGGAAGGACCCAATCCATAGTGGGTGGTGCCATCCCTGGGCTGGTGATCCTGTGTTCTATAGGAAAGTAGGCTGAGAAAGTCAATGGGGAACAAGCCAGTAAGCAGCACCCTTCCATGGTCTCTGCATCAGCTCCTGGTGCTCCGTCAGAGCTGTAGAAACCCTGATTAAGACATGTTCCAACAACCCTCATCAGTCAAGCTTCTGGGGGGGGTCATCAGAGTATGCTGAAGTCCCCCAAGTTTCTGTACCAACTCCTCCCCACAGGCCCAATCCCCTGGATCAGTACCACACCTGCATCTTATCATCACTGTGCTGTTCCAGCCCAGACCCCACCAACTGCCTCCCACCTCTTTCCACCATTTAGCTGTGTTGCATCATCAGGAAAGATGAAAATGTCCACTTAAAATAAGGTAGGACTGATTTCTCTCACAAACATAAAAAGAGGTTCAGAGGTGGCAGGTGACTTTGCAAGATCAGGATCCAGAGCCAGGTCTTCTTCCCAGGACATCCTCAACAATCATTCTGCTGCCTCCTCACAGACCAAAAGAACTGTTCAGGTGCTACCCATCACACCCTTGTTCCTGCAGCTACAAGGCAGAGAAGGAAGCAAAGTGCATGTTGTTAGCTGTTTAGGACCCCTCCCTAAAATCACGTGACTATTTCTTCTTTCATTTGGTGTGTACACATGTGTGGTACATGTGTGTGTGCATGTGCATGTGCATGTGTAGAAGTACTCTGTGCAAGCCAGAGAAAGATGTCAGGT